GAGAGAGAGAGATGATGAGACAGAGAGAGAGAGAGTGCGGGAGAGAGGGAAGAGAGAGAGAGAGAGAGAGAGAGAGAGAGAGAGAGAGAGAGAGGAGAGAGAGAGAGGGAGGAGAGAGAGAGAGAGAGAGGAGAGAGAGAGAGAGAGAGACCTAAGGTCAGTTACAATTGCGGCATTACGGCGAACAACACTGAAATAACAATCACATTAAGCTTCAGAGCGAACATTGCATCGTATCGGTGCTCCAAGAGCGAGGCGAATATGCCGGGTATAGTTTATTTCAAGAGTCGGTAGCTTCGATTGTCATTGACAGCCACATGTACGTATCTATAGCTGAGTGGATTTCTGGGAAAACAACCCAGCTCACTCGGTGGTGACCGCTGCGCGGCTATTCTTGTTTGGGTTATGGAATTGCAAGCCCTGCTCAAATATTTATAGAGCAGCGACGAGCGCGCCTAACAACACATGCGAACGGCAACAGGCTTTCACATTCTTCTGGGAGGTCTAATCATACGGCATCAGAAATTGAATCGACAGCACGAAAAATAGGCGGCGGGATGCAATTTACCGTTGACGGTCTGTTTATCGGTCAGGATAACAGTGATTTTCTCTCAATTACAATGCGGTCAAAAATTCCCGCTGGAAAATACCGCTGAAACTCCCGCCGTAATCTAATTTACCAATGTCAACAGCAAAAAAAAAAAAACAGCATTGAGGGTAGAGGCGTTAGCGTTGGCAACACTGTGGTTAGTAAGACGTATGCCCAGCATTTTGTTTGAGTGCTCTTTCGCTACTCAATGCCTGATCTGAGCGGTGAGTAGTAACTTTCATCCTCTAAGAATGCAGAGCCAAGTTAAAAATACGTTTGAAGATACCACATCAAAGGCGTTTCAGCAATGATGTGCCGTGTCAGGCGGAACTCAGTTTCACACTGCATCCGGCACTTCCTCCCACCTCCCTCACCTCAATGGTGCTGAGGACGGCGCGGTGCTGTCGCGGTATCTCCCGCACCGCGCTGGCCGGCGAGTCGTACCGCGAGCAGGGGCGGCTCCAGGAGGGAGTCCTGCGGCCCACGTCCGGCTGCACGGGCGACAGCAGGTGCGGCGACAGGGGGGAGCTGGCCAGACCGGGGCTGGCCGGGCCGGCTGGGGGCACCGGGCTGAGCATCGGCGAGTCTGGCAGCAGGTGGTAGCCCACGTACGACTGAGAGCGGGGCAGCGGCGAGTCGGCGCCGGCCGACCAGCCGTCCGGACTGCCGCCCCGAGTTGGCACCGGGAAGGTGCAAGGCGCGAGAAAGTTTGGCGAAAAGTCAAATGTGACCTTTGGCACGGAGCGGGAGCGGGGTCGCGGTGAACAGCAGACGCCCGGCTCGTTCACGACATAGCCGGTGCCCTCCCAGTTTGGCAGGTTCTGGAGCTCCTTCTGAAACGCGCGGATGTCCTCGATGGAGCTGGTGCCGCCGGCGCCGTGGAAGTCCGGGTTCGACTTGCAGTGGTTCTTCTTGCGCCACATGCTCGTGAAGGGGAAGTTGAACGCCAGCGGCTCTCGGCACTTGTCCGTGTCCCGTGACGCGGCACTCGATCCGGTGGTCCCTCCGGCGGCTAGCGCGCGGGGGCCACTCTGCGACGACGAGCCTGTCTCTGACGATGCCTGCTGGCGCGAGTTACGACTCCAGCTCTTATAGGCGTCAATTCTCTCCTCCCGACTCAGCGTCCTTAGTCCGTCACCCTCGGCCGAACACTTCCTCCGAAATCGTGTCACATCGATACCGTCTCCGGAGCTGATGGAGTCCTGGTGGGGTCGCGGCGGCCGCGCGGCAGGATCAGGGGAGGGGAGGGTGGAACAGCTGGAGCGGAGCAGAGAGCTCTGCCACTTCTGCAGGTGGAAGAACGAGGTCATCAGCCGGTGCAGCAGCAGCCGCACGAAGATGATGGGGTGCAGCGCGAACGGCAGGCCGGTCAGCATGCAGCTGGTGAGTCGGGACGGCGGTGACACCTCCGGTCCGTGCTTCCCCGGCCGGTGCAGGCGGATCAGCACTGCAAACACAGTGAAACGGGGCGGGATCAGCACTGGAAGCACAGCATACCGTGGCGGGATCAGCACTGGAAGTACAGCACACCGGACTGGGATCAGCACTGGAGACATCGCAAACCGGTGGATGCATATTCAGCAGAAGCACATCAAAACGGGGCGCGATCAGCATAGGAAACACAACACACCGGGGCAGGGGACCACAAAAACTTTGCGACACATTTTACAAGAAATGAATCACTCGATGGCGTGTGGTAAAGTGCAAAATATCACGGCTCAGGGGTCTCGTAATGCAGCGTAGCTTATTTTGCAGGACCGATTAGAGCAGTATGACTGACAGCTGACAGCAATGTGGGGCCTGTGTAATGTGGCTTCCGCCATGCTTGGTTCATTGCAATGATGTAAAACTACTGCGCAATAGACTCACGAGGAAAGGTAACGGTTTTGTAATGCTGCAGGCTAAAGTGAATTGCTATGACATTTAGCCGTTATTGCGGCATCGTCGCTATAGGATCATGAACACGAGACATCATTGCAGACATACTCATGAGTCAGCTTTGCGACAGGTCTTTACGTGATCGTGTCACGTCCTCGCTTTACGACATCAGGTACAGGAAGCTCGTGACTATGCTCATAATTTGAACGATCGAGCGTAAGTGCTTCGATTTAATCACATCGATCGTTGAGATATGCAACACCACACAGGAATCAGAGCCGTTGCGATAACGAACGTATGCCCTGTGTATCTACTATTGTATCGACGGTTTTAACGTACCGTCTTCTTCCATTGTAAATCTTCCGCCGACCGGTGTCATTCCCGACAGAGACAGGCCGTCCTGAAAACGCCACAGCCGTCAGCAACACACAGTTAATGAGGATGACTATGCGCTTAATGAGTGAGGGAGAACTACGAGAGGATACGCTGCTATATCTGCACGAGGGAATGCTCGTGGCTTCCAGCGCGTACCCGCCAAACGGGCCCCTCAGTCACGTGACTTGTTCAGGAACACACAGGTGTAGGGGACTGTAATTAATTGGCCTAATCTACAGGAGACTTTGCCATTCCTACACGCCATTTGTCGATCGATGTTCAGGAGAGCATCCCCATCAGTCAGCCCTAACTAGCCACAGTGCAGGGTTCGCTGCAGCCTACAGACCGCCGATGGAATGACTCGTTATTATTGCTTTGGGTCCCGGGTTTAGGTGGGATTCATACCATGAAATAGATTTATAACAAGTAAGCCATTTTTCCGTTTACGTAGATCGACAGCAAAACTGTGTGACGGTAGAATGATGCACAGTCAAATGTCGCTTTTACAATTTATTTTATTAAATTGCGTCGCAGTTTACCGTATCGTCGCCATGTCGCATCGGGCACGCAAAACCATCGGTTAGAAGTTGTAATTATGCATCTCGTTTGGAACAACAAACTGAACCGCCCAAGTAGAACAATTATTCAAAGGTCAACGAACAATGCAGTTCGTGTGGCATTTACAAATGGCATGAATTAAGCGCGCCGGCCTTTGTACAAGTACTGCGCATTAATAATAGAAATTAGGTACCCAATTTCTCAGTTGGTTTGGTTCTAGTGGAACGTTAAATAGGCATTCACATACACAACATGCCAATTATTGCTAGTGTGCCGCTCTACTGAACATGTTTAGAAGTTTAGGAAATAGGAGAGAACTACGACCCTTCAAAGTTTGAGGCGGTTGGTATGATGACAAAAAAGCAATAAGATGGCTCCGATAGAATGTTCGCATTCTGGGCGAGAATGTAAAAATTCAAAATTCAAGAACTCTTGCATCAGAAAGCACACAACTATAATGAACGTAATCCATAAAGCTGAGTGATTGTTGAGTGGAAGTTTTTTCTATCGACACATCGACCTGTGAGGTTCTAAGCCCACGCACATATCTTTTTTTACACAGCCATGGCTTCGAGAAGTACCTACAAACCAATTACTTTTTCTAAAAGTCATTCAATCCACCGCAGGGGTCCACATTACCAAACGCAATCATCTCAGATAACCATGCTGCACCCATTTCTCGCGCTCGGCTGTACCCGTGTTCGCGCGAGCGGCGCCCGTTCGGTGTCGCCTGCGTTACCTCGAAGTACTCCAGGATGCTGAGCGTGGCGCCTTCGATGGAAACGCCCAGGATGTGCTTGTTGTCGGAGCTAGACACAGTGAGGGGCGCCACAGAAGTGGAGACGATGTACCGATCCTCCAACGAGCCGTTCACGGGTGACAGCGGGACTGGACCTGGAACGACGGGATCAGTTACGTGAGTATAGCGCAAATCGGAAATAGCAATAGTGAAACAGACGTGTCGGTGAATTGCTATAAGTAGGCTCTAAGTAGATTAAAATCGCTAATGCCTATGCAGCCACGATGCCTAATGCGGAATGATAAAACCAATTTATAATAACCGAAATACCGACGTCATGAAAATCCTGTTCCGTATTGCCTAGCAACGAACAAACAGGTTTGACCCATTCATGTCTGATACATAGACACAAATTGTAATTCGAAACATATAATTTGAATTGCATATCAGCTAAATTTCCTTCTTCAGCAGTCTGTTTTATTTTCACTCCTCGATGAATGTTTTGGATACTCGAATATGCCGTTCAGTCTGGTCTGTACCTATCTCGGAGGAGAGGAGGCAACTTTATCAACTTTATCAGCTATCTGTATTCTATCTCGCCGCCGCCGCCGCCACCGCCGGTGTGTTGTCGTCCATCCGGCGGCGGCCGGCGGCGGGCCGGAGGTAATTTCCCTTCAGGGTTGCCGCCGCGCGTGTATCAATCGCGCCCGGCCGGCGGGGCAACATATCCCAATCAGACGGAACGGGGTTGGTCAGCATTTGTGGCCCGGAGCCAAAGTTGGAGGTCAGCAGTCAGTGGCCATCGCGGCATCGTCTGCCCGTGTAACAGCTAACATTCCCATCCTTTGACTCACTTTGGAGCAGGTCAAAGACGCTGGTTCGCTGGTTGATGCGGTTCTGCAGTCCGATGTAGACCATCACACGGGCGGCGTGGTGCTTGACAAAGCGAGCAAACATCGTACTGTGGTTGGTGTAGTACCTGAAAACCCAGAGTGAGTACGGTTCAGCCTCTGGATACCATGCAGCCTCAGACAGGGAACATACTTCATGCCAAAATTGCTGGCCTTATTTCAACGTGTAAACGTTTGTAAAAGATGTGGTATGTCTGCCATATCTCTGTAGGGCATGTCCACGAGAAACTATATCACAGCCAGTGCACCGACAAACTGTAATCACCCAGGATTGAACGTCGCGTGTTCACGCTCGGAGTGCCGTGAATGTTTCCTAGCGTGATATCTGCCTATCCCGGTGCTGTGGGACCCCATGACATGTTGGCCAGCTCATGGCGTGATGGGTAGCAGAATATCTAGCACGGCGACTCCTAATTATATCCGAGCGGGTCCCGTGCCACCGGTAACCCTTCTCGAGTGTCGGAAGCAACAGCGACCATTAGTGAGATCCTTTCAGCCACGCCTCGGCAGGAATGGTTCGATCGCAGCTGCTCAATGGCCATAACATGGGCTGATTGCGTCGCCAGAGGCCAGCCCGAGAGGTTTAGCTGACTCAGTCAGAAAACTCTAATGGTTGAAATTTAAGACTTTTAAACCTTTAAAGGGATCAACTTACGATATGCACTCGTATGCATCACAAATTCTAATATAGACAAAGCGCCGTTTCCATTGCTATAGATTTTCAAGGCTTTCGAAATGCGTAGGTACGGGGACCCGCAGTTGCTACTGTACACGAACCCCAACTCTAGCCGTCTGTCCTGCCCAGTAACAACCGATAACATTGATATCGACTGCCAGTCCCTGTACAAGAGCAGCTGAGGTTTTCTGTGCGTGCCCTCTGACAGCTTATCGTTGTTCCCTGTGAGGGTGCTGGGACAATTTACTCAGGGTCGCTGTATGTACAGTAGCAACTGCGGATCCCCGTACCTATCTATTAGCGTTGTTTTTACTCTCTGCACTCCAATATGAAGCTCAGCTTTATTGGCAATTTTCCTACGGGATGCTTACCAATGAAGCACAACTTGGAAATGTTTTGGTCCATCGATGTCTACAACGAAGTGTGTTTTTTGCCCATGTTTTCCCAGTCTGTCGTTGTCGAGTTCCGAGTGTGCAGAAGTTAGATAGTAATAGGTTTGTTGTGCACTTTCGGACGTCGGATTGATGCAGAGCGTTCCACCCGGACTAGTGACCAGTCCCGACTAAACTGTGGCCCTTCATATACGAACAGCGGATCTCTGTTTAAATCGCGTGCGGTACGTACTTTTACCTGGCGTTGTCGGGTACGTTACGCCAATCTTTGAGCTGTCACGTTGAAGCACGTCGATTTTAGCGCAAGAGCTCACGCTGTCACTCACCATTCGTCCGACGGTAGAATGAGCTGTATCAGGCTATCCACGAGCTCGGTAGCCAGCAGGGCGTCGTGGTTCACCGGGTCCAGCGCCAGGTTGGCCATTATTTGCAGTGACAGACACAGCAGTTGCTGAAACATGGAACGGGTGTCAGCACAGTTCGCCCTCCGGAGCACTCGGGAATTCTGAGGACAGCAAAGTCTGCACTCGAGGATAACATAGTCCGTTATAACATTCACGGCCAGCACAGTTTGCATTTTAGGCTGCACTACAATGTGCTGCTTATTCTATTTCTCAGAGGACGGATGATGAAAAAATCCGTCCAACAACGCTGTCTCTTTTACATGCGTTATATAATCATTTTATCACCGTATCGTATCGTATCGTTATCGTATAGTCTCTAAGGCGTCTAGTCATTTCTCACTTTTTTATACATGAAGACGATGCACTAGTCTAGTCAGCTTGTTATACAGGTTTTCCAAAGTGGCTATATAAGAGTTGTGCCGCATATTTCGTCCCAGATGGACAAAATCACAGCTGAGCGTCTATTCGCAGTTGTCAGCAGACCGTGGCCACGGATGGTTCCCTCGTGTTTGTCCAATGGAGCCATATGGTGTTTATAGGACACGCTACTACCGGGACACACTTTTCGTACGTACTACGTGGATCCCTAGAGGCACTTCTGGACAGTATTTGTACGTTCAGAGATCTGTGCCTACTGCCTCTGCTGTCGTAAGCGCTCGACCATATGAGTGAATTTCAGAGACGTTATGTTACGTAACACCGAGCTAAACGGTTTATCAACCAGACATGACAGGAAATATGCCGTCCGAAACTCATCTGAGGCGTGCCCAGGAACCTCGTAGCTCTTGGAAGTGGTGCGTACCCTGTATCCTTTAGGCCACCTTTGAATTTGGTGCCAAAGGTAAAGCCGCTTCCCACGTCTTGAATGAAAAGTGGCTTCTAGGGTCATCTATTTGGTAATAGGTGGAAATGTATGCAAAACGAATAAGGCGTGCCAACGCTCAGGAGGATTTCTGAGTCGTTTTTTCTGGCACCGCCCACCGGAACTCACTCGGCTGCATCTGCATTAGAAGAAGCAATTACGGGCCGACGGCATCCTGAAGGGCCCGCGGTGGCACCTTTGACCTATTGTTCTGACAGCTTTTTTTCCGTCGTCTAGCGACGCTTCTGATCAGATGATATATCTCGTAATGTTACACCACTCAGCTTCTGTTGGCTATTGTTAGGTAATGGCGATAGCAACCAGAAAAATACCAGAAACTACCAAGATATAATGTTACGTCCAGTAGGTCTTGTGCCGAGCATTATCTAGAGGTTCGTTATTACTGCGCGCCAGTCGCTGCCTCGGAACGGGCGCGACTGTAGCAGTTCTCTAACGCCGAGCGCACACCATTATATGCTCTGAGAGAGACGACCGCGCGGCATGCGAACCAGCTGTGAGAGATATGTCCCGGCCGGCACGCCCGGCGTGATAAGGTCATACACACAGTGCGCAGGGGTCGATGTAGGGTGGCGTGTAATATCGCCCGAACTCGTAGAAAAGAATACAGATAAAGATGACAATGCAACAGCGGAAAAGTGAGCACACATATGTGTAAGTACGAGTTGTTCAGGCGCCAGGCGTCAGGCACCATGGCTTCACTGAGTGATCCGGAGTATCTCCGGTGTCTTACGGCAAGTCAAAGGCCTCAACATGCGGTCACCAGAAGGCACCACAGTCCAGCCAGGCCACCAAAGGAACGACGTTCTCGCCTGGTCGCCAACCATCAACTCTTTCTGCACCGGGACGTACTCAATACTCATCGACAGGTACTGTAGTCTCACAAGGTCATTCACAAGCACCGCGATCCTGCACTAGGGCCTACGTGTCATCGACAGGCACTGTTGTCTCAACAGGACTCATATCAAGCACCATTGTTTCTTACCGGGTCATGCGTGGTATCCAGGGAGGAGACCAGCAGTCTCAGCTGTGTCTCCTCCACCAGTGAGACCCGGTACGAGCTGCTGTGGGACAAGTAGAGCAGCAGCCGGGCGCTCAGGATCTGCAGACAGTGCGGCTGGCACTCCTGCACCCTGGCGGCCGCATAGCAAACTATCAGCACGGCGGCACAGCCTACCGCCGCAGGTATCAAATCGCAGCTCGGCAGAACAATAGCTGCACTTCCTCGTACACCAAATCGCAACAAATAAGTGCGCATAATATCATGACGGCGTTATGAGAAGAATATCAAAATGAATTAAGAATATTATCATTTATGGAGTAGCTTACCAAAACGGTATATTGATCAATAACTGTTATTGATTTGGTCGTAGTCCATGCCTTTCGGTAGGATCATTGCTCCTTATTCCATATCCTTACGCTGGGGTGGATCGCTCCTTATCACATACCTTACGCTGGGAGTGCATCGCTCCTTCTTCCCCATGACAATCCGCTTGTGCAGCGTGATGGCGTTGTGCATGACGTTCACCAAAGTTCTGGCTGGCACACTGCACAAAGCATCTGAAGAGAACGGCAAAAGAGCTGGATAATAAAACTCGCATTCATTTCACTGGGCCAAGAGTCGAATATGTATGCATCATGCACATAAACAACATCCAAAAGAGATTCAGGGCAACGATTAGCGGGGCTGAACTTAACCTTAAAGTACTTGAGAGCCCGAGCGGACATAACGTAAAACGAGCCGTTTTAAATATAGAAGAAGGAATTCATAATGACATTCCGAGGTTATTACGCTTTATCTTTAATCTTTATTGGCTTGATATCATCCTTTATTGGATGGAAGTGTACTGAATGCGCATATCATGACAAAAGAGTCGCCATTGAGCTACAGGCAGTCAATGGTAATAAATCTTATAGGTAAATAAAAAGTAGTCGTCAAAGCCTTAATTTTCACAGAAGCCAGCAGGAAGTACGCTCATTACATCGCTCGCTCTTGAACTAATAAGGTCAACGCACAATGCCTTCTCAAACATCTTTCGAACAATGATGAATGTACCTGAGTTTGAGCTAGCAGCTATATAGCTCATTGAACTTTACTGCGACCGGTAACCTTCTCGGACAAGTACAAACGATTCGGTGCCGAATCAAATGCCATTCAGGCGGGCCATCAGGCGCGCAGCGGTCAATACGAGCCGCTCCTGCAGCCTCCCACAGACTTCCGGGGGCGGCCGCGGCTCCATGTCTGGGTCTCAAAAGTTGTGCGTTTGGGTGTCGTTCGATCGCCAATCGCCGAGGTACGAGCGCCGCCTGACGTGCCGCTGATCACCGCGTGAGCAGACATTTGGAGTCGGAGGGCCTTGCTGAACGGACATCGTCCGCCCGCCCACCGGACCGGCTAGCACCCGAGTTACTGCTCATTGCGCAGACGACGGACAATGAGATGGTGCTCCCCGCGTGGTTTATGTCCTCTGGTGAAATTCTACAATGGCTCGCAGGAAGGAAGCGTGGGCTGAGCTTGCGACAAGGCTGGTGCGCATATGGCTAGTTATGTCCCAAAGAGTCGTAGACCTCGGCGAATGCAATGTAACAGGATGTGTAGTTGTACGGTCCATCTCACTCCTGTAATTTTTCTCAGTAACCTTTTAGTTCATGCAGTCTCGGTTCACACCATTAATTAAGATCTAAAACGTAGTCTACATAAAGTGCGAGGAAGGAGAGAAGGAATAAATATATTGAAAGTTAAAATCACGCCTCATTCATTGTTTAGAAGCATCGGAGTATTTCGTACACCGGCAACAGTTGGTAGAAAAGACGGCTTTATAACTTTAATAAATTATATAATAAACGGCTTTAATGAATTACCAAATCATGCATTACCTTAAACGAGTCTTATTCCACATCCACCTGTCTTACTCTATTCGAGCCGGCACCTGTGATCTGCACTCCCTCGGAGAGCCCCATTATTTCCCATCCCCGGCCGCGCGGCTGAGAACGCTGACACCACATGGGGCTACGTCTAACAGAGAGCAGCGCAAACAGAGCCAACGATGAGAGGCTGCAGACGGAGTGAATCCAGCGCGGGAGTCCCCGTGGCCGTGAGCAGAGAGCACACCCGCAGCCGCCCGAAGCCACGTTTATTTTCTCCGCCCGACCGCCGGTTTTCTCACTGCACCAGCGGCACTCGGTCCTCTCCGCATCAGACGGAGCCGACTCAGGATGAAAGAGAAGAGCATCTCATTGGTATGCCGGGTGGCCACCGTGCAAATACTCGACGCCTAATGATGCCAGACGCCTGATGTGGCAAAGATTTGTCACAGAATCAGCGGACTTCAACAGCTGTGTGTGCGACGGCTTCGATGAAATTATGGAGGACTAGAAAGGTTATGTAAATACGCCATGTTTGATTATCCTAGAGCGCCAGTGAGCTAATGCGCTTGCATTATCTTGCTGGATTTGTGTGCTAAGAGCTAACACAAAAGTCTCTTAAGTCTAAGGTGATTGCACTGCAGCAAAAGAGCTTCAATTTAAGTGCCAGATGTTGTAAGATCGTGAAAGACCCGGTATTCCGTAATAGTTAGTAGTGCTTGCTCAGAATGAACAAATGACAGACATTCGATCATCATTTATCCGGTTAATGGGGCGCTTATTTTCCGTATCGGCCGCATGTTATATCGATATTTAATACCTCCATACACATCTGCCTTGCTTTAAACACACTACCTTTCCATTGTTTTATCCCCTAAAACTCATTGGCTCTTTTGTAGTGAATTGATTACAAAGGGCAATGGGTTACCTGCAGTGTTAAGTTACAGATCAAATTACCGACTAATTAGCGAACATCCACTGGTTCACAAAAGACCTGCATACGTCACTACACTACGCTTGCCCTCTCTCATGAATATGACATTACTGTGTGAGCAAAACCGGAGACATATTACTCAAGCGTGACGGTTGTCTGGCATGCGACAGCCAGTGAGCCATTATCCATCACATTTGGTTCACATTTGACCAGCAGCCGTCTACTTACCGGTGACATTTGGTTCGCGTTCGAGCCCGACCCGCGGTCGCTCTGGTCCGGACGGATTGTCAAGAAGGTGCTGCTGCCACAGCCCCCGGCGACTCTCTGAGCTCAGCTCCGGTGCAGGGCTCTCCCTGAGGAGACGGAACGACATTCAACACGAGCAACAGACAGTAAGAGCTGCATATTGCATACGAAGAGGCAGAATCCTGCGTAACCTGGCAACGGAAGGCAGCGGGCGCCATTGGGCCAATACACCACTTTGTAGCATCGTGATTAAACATGACATGCATTAACTTAAAATGGCAAACATATACCTTTGATTATTTCCATACCTTTGATTGTTTCTGAATCAGACTAGCTACAAGTGTTTTAGACCTTAGAGCGCAGATGCATTGAATCAAACTGTATAAGCCAGCACGCAAAGAGCACGCCATAAGCCAATGATCTATGAGAATTGATCGTGCCTCGAATGCATCAGCTCCATAAATGACATTTCCACAGCGTTGCGTCACAGCACACCGGTCAAAGACCAGTTCGCGGTGGTTCGGGAGCTTCCTTCCGCGACAGAGGGAGGCGCTGGCTGCCGCTACCACCGCCGGAGAGCCCCTGTGGTTCGGACGGCGCTGCGGCCGCTTCCAGCGCGACGCAGAGGAGTAATCAGTGCCAGACTGCACCTGAGGGGCCTCGGGAGCCGGCCTGGCCGTAACCGCTGCCGGCACGGCCGACTCCCTTCCTACTCTCTCCTCTCTCTCTCTAGACTCTGTCTCTGTTTCTCTCTTTCTGTCCTCTCTCTATGTGTCTCTATATGTTGTCTTCGTTTCATTCTGTAATATTTTTCCTCTGTCTCTCTCCCACCCTCTCTCTCTCTCCATTGCCCTTCATTACCTATTCTTTCTTCCTCTCTTTCTCTGTCTCTCCTAATGCCATCTACTTCAAAGGCAGCTCTCATTTCCATCCGGCACAGCTGTAGCGCCATGTTGCCCCGACTCTCTCTCTCTCTCCACATCCCGGCTCTTTCGACCTCCTTGCTGACGACACAGGCCCCCTCACAGACGGTTGTCTGGCTAATTGTCTCCCAATGTGAGGCCGAGCTGTCACCGCCAGCCGGCTGTCAGCTCTTGTGACGGCACACTGTCGCCGGCGGCGCTGTTGTGATGACCGCAGTCCGGACCGTCGGCCGTCGTCGCCAGCGTCGTCGCGTGTTGTCCTGGCTGATCAGCCGTCCGCGGCGCAATGGTCACACACATGCGGCTGTGGCCGGGGAGCTCGGCACAGCGACCAGGCTTTGTACTCGGCTGAATCGTTTCGTCTGTAGCGCGCCCGCGACTGCGATTGGTTGCCATCCACCCACGCCGGCCTGCCGGAAGCGCCATCCACCGGTATTGATGAGTCTGGAAAACCGCCGCGACGGCTACCGGCCCGCGAGATGAACAGCCTGATGCACTTTGGAAAAGGCATTATCACTCGCTTGGTTGATGAAAGCAGGCTTCAGGTGAGAATTATCTGGTCTTCTTCGTATAATGTTAGCATTTTACGCTGAAAAACTCTGTAAGGCGGCAAAGTAAACACAAAACCACATCGGGGTGTGTTTACATAATGTAATCAGTAATGTCATTGCATCTAAAGCAGATTCATCGAGGACATGTCACATAGGACACACGTGCTTATCAATTGTATTCATTGTTTTCCAAACTTCTGTCACTTTTGATGCGGTGGATGACGTTTCCACCGGAAATTCAGGAGGTCTGTCTGACCTGCCGCGCAGCAATATCGTTTGAACGGCCGTGCCGGAGCACGTGATCACATTCTGAATACAAACTGCGCAGCTCATGTCCGCTATCTGGAGCTGCGATGGTAGCCATCAGGGTCCGCAGGCCTCGTAACGCCAGCCATTGGGCTAGCACGCCGGCCCGAAGCTCACACGAGCCTCAGCCGGAAACTCAAACAGCGCTCTCTAACAGACGTTCGGCGCCGCTGAGATTCGTCCACCGGCTACCTACATCCGGCGTCGTTGAGGCTCGTCCACCGTTTTGTGGAGTCGGGAGGCGGGGCTGGCTGTCGGTGAGGGCCTGTTTTTCACGGCGGCGGACTCGGCGACCGGGCCCGTACCCAGCTCTGACAGGCGCTCTGTTGTTGACCTCAGCCAATGCCGGAAACGTTAGCGGCACGCTCGACTGACTGAAATGGCTCGCTCTGGGCAGCCAGTCGTCACAGAAGGAACAACATCGCCCACGTCAATTGATTTCGTTAAGTGAAATTGAATTTCAAGTGGTGCGGCGCCAATGAAATTAACATACTAATGCTCTCTGGCAAGGAGGTCGGGTCGAACATGGAGCATTGTCGGCACTTCTTCGGCGATAAGCAAGTTCGGCACAATGTTAAGGAGCCACACATTAAAAAAACAAAAACAAAAACATATGTGCATTCTCAACTGATTCTCGTTGAACGTTAACTTTTATTGAGTGTGGTTCGACTAAAGAATGCCCCTGCTGGTCGTTTTGGTCTTGAATGTGATCTTATTACATATTTTGCATAGGTATTTGATAATTACGAGTTTTGTTCGCTGAAGAAGTCCTCATAATTATATCTTACTTTTGAACCAGTTATTCTCTGACCCCAATAGTCACCCCTGACCCAACCCTCTGACCTCACCAGCCACCCTCTGACCTCACCAGCCACCCTCTGACCTCACCAGCCACCCTCTGACCTCACCAGCCACCCTCTGACCTCACCAGCCATCTTCTGACCTCACCAGCCACCCCCTGAACTCACCTGTCGTCACCCAACCAACCTGTGTCTCTTCGACCCCACCTGTGCCCCTCTGACCCAATGGTCACCCCATGACCTCACTGGCCCCCTAGTGAACCATCCCCTGACCCGACCACTCGCCGCCTGACCCACCTGTGACTCTCGGTCTCCGGGGCGCCACTGACACCGTCACGGGTCACCGTGTGATCCACCACGCGGTTCATCAGGTTCAGCGCCGTGAACTGCAGGTCCTGCGAGCCCTGCACCATCTCTGCCGCCATGGTGATCAGCTGGCGCAGACACCGGGTCAGCTCCCGACCGTGCGCCGGCAGCGAGAAGTGAGACACGGCCGTCTGTAGGGAGAGGGGAAGAGAGACAGGGTGAGCTGGTGGCAGAGTGGCAAATGCAGCGGTGGAATCGCTGTTGGTTCATGGAAGTGGTTGAAGATACAAGAGCAGTGTCTATCGCGTTTGCAAGGAAAAGACGAGAGCATGTCATCAATAATGATATCGACATACCTCCCGATCACAAAAAAATAACTATGCTAAGGCCTAAGACTACATCGCTTCGGTAGCTGACAAAACTAAGAAGCCGGATCCTCGAGACGGTAACCGGGGAGTTAATCCCACATTCAGCCAGATAGCACGGAGCCAGCGCTGCAAATAGCCCACACATTTCAGCTGAAACTGTGTTTTATCACCATCTGATAAGACACTGAAGGGGCTGAGAGTCGCTCGCATGCGACTCCATTTCCCGAATAGAGCAGCAAATTGCAAAGTTAATACAGCTGACATCTGGCTAGCAGCACGGGCGCGTGTTAATTTATGTATGTAGGACGTAGGAGCGCCGAGCTGCTGTCCGTGCAGTGGTGCGTCCCACCCCGGGTAGTCAACGGGACAGGGCTGTTGAATGTTGAGGGACCCAGCGCGTGTCACACGTCATCAGTGGCAGCGCCGGCGACCGGGGCCGGCCCGGTGACTCTAATGGCCTTTTATGACGCAAGTGAGCCGCTGCCACCGCCCTGCCCCGGCCCCGGTGGCCCGGGGGCGGGGTAGAGGGGCGGGTTCACTTGTTGCGCACCCACTCATCACGAAGAATAGTCCTGATATGGACAGCCGGGGACGGGCAGATGGACATTAATGCCGGGGTTATGTACAACAATCACAGCTGTCTGTAGCGCTTTAACCCTAGAACGCCTAGGGGGGGGTTGTATCAACCCCCCCCCCTGAGGTTTTTCGGAAATAGTGCAAAAACGGCGGCGCGCAGTGCCGCCAAATTTTGGGTACCTTATGGGGCAAACCTTGCGCATCTTTTGATAAAAAAAATTTGACCGGGTCATGTCAGGTCACGGAGTTATGACGTCACAAAGGGAACAGCCTCCGGCCGGATTTTCACAACCTGAGTGCCAACGCCCGAGGTTTCCTGCCGGTGGTACGGACATCGGTTGATGGATCGTGATGAAACTTCCCATGCATGTTGGGGCAAGTATTGGCTATCATATGGTATAAGAAACTTGACCGGGTCAGGTCAGGTCACGGAGCTATGACGTCACAAGAGGAACAGCGTCCGGTACTATTTTTGAAAAGCGCCCGAACCACTATTTTGCTAATTCTTGTCACCTCAAAGGGAATATGCAGCAATATTAGCTTCTATAGGGAGCAAATGGACCTCCCAAATCCAAAAATACAATCAGATTTCAAAAATTTAAATTTTGATTTTTCGAATTTCTGCCGCCGACTGTGACCTTGCCGACTTCCGGCGCTCCCAACGCGCCATTTTTAGAGCTAGGGAAACGAAATACATACCAAACGATAGAGAATTGATCAAGGAGCACGATAGTGAAGGTTTCAAGTCGATATCTCCCACCGTTTTGCCGCAATCGCCGCGGAAAGTTGAAAAAAGTCTATTTTTCCGAAAATTTGACCTTTGACCGGTCAAAAGTAGGTCAAATGTTGACCTAGGACCAAAAAATATACCACCAATCGCGAGATCTCGTTGAGAGCAATCCGTTGGTTTTTTCCGCTAAGCTCTACGACCTTCCGTTTCGAAACGCCAGGGGGGGGGGTCGTAACAACCCCCCCCCCTGGTCGTTCGTGTTATGAGAAATGGCCTGGTCGTGCGAGGGTTAATGTACATATGTGTGATATGGTTAGTTGATTTACAATTTCACGCTCGATTATGTGGGGCTAGTCGCCAGCATCAGCACCGGCACCACAACCAGAGTTCCAGCCTCCAACATCTCGTGCACACCGAATGGGTGACATCGAGCTGCTGTATGGGGGATGGTAGCCCACGATTAGCACCGAGGAGGATGGCGTCTGGCCCGCCAAAGCCGCCCATAAGCAATAAGGAAATAGTTAGTTGAGTTTACAATGGTAATATCTTGTGACAATAACATAGTTCCGTTGTGAAAAATGTATCTACGAATGTTGTTAAATTAAAGTTGGGATTGAACGAAATGAGGAATTGCAATAGTTAGCGAACTGAGTCATGCGAAATAGACCTTGCAACTTATGGCTGCAGGAAATGTTAATATTTCAAATACTTTGATGTTTCGTTTTATTTGTCTATTACATTTGGTTGTAGCTGACTGTGAAACTCAGGGCTGAAACGATGTTTGTTACAAATGGTGTTGTGCCAATCAAATAATCTTAGGGCAGGCGAAGACAAATGTGAGCTGTCAACCTCAACCCACTACAAATAACTACACAAACGGTTCTGAGAGCCGTTTGAGTGTTGAAGTGCGTTTGCTTCTTTAATCATTTTATGTCCACCAGTACTGCGCAGAGACCTCCAGTGCATCAGAATACCCTATACTGGAATTTTCTTTGGCCATAGGCAACTGTGCTGCAAGAGATGCAGATCATTGTCACTACAACTGCAGCAAATAACCTGATCTAAGTCGCTGGTATGTGCTTCCTTCTACCACTGGCATCGTTCTCGGCATGGTCGCTACGAAGATAGCGGGAGGGAATGACAAACTCTGCATCTGATAGCAGCATAGAACGATACCCTGCGGAGCAGACCGCATCGCCGCAGGATGGCCTCTCTCCGGCGCACAATAGTTTGCGCTCGTATGTTTCCCCGAGTTGTTGGGTCAATCTCAATACCACAGATAAAGTGGTAAAAATTCCGACTAACTTTGCACAAGTGATGTCGGAACACACAGCGAGTTATGTAGGCTGGAACTATACGAGTACTTATGAAAATGCTGTCGTCAGTGGCCGACCCGCGACCCGGTGCTGGGTCGCGGGCCGGGGCAGTCTGCGTTGGTGCTCTTTAAGTTCTGTGTGGCTTAAGCAGAAGCTCCTGTTTCCGTTGATGAAGGCTATAGTCGGTGTTGGGAGCGAGGTTCGTGCGGAGTTACCTGTATCGCAGATGATTGCATTTGTATATGTATGATATGGGATATATACATGTAATACATGCCTGAAGCGTCGAATGTGTGTAACGTTGGTTGAAACCCCTGTTTCGCATCAAGAAACGTTAAGGCGTTTATCGTAAACCTTAAAGAATTCTTACGCTGACATTTTTTATTTTGAATTTTTACATCTCACGAATCAAATAACATTTTCTATCCTTCCTGAGCGACTATTCTTACGTTTAATAGGAAACACGGTTTATGTAAATACCAAATGTTATAATTTTACTTCAACTAATCAAGAAACGAAGAACTCCCAAAAAATGAAAACCATTACAATCAAAGAAGGAGTGGACTTTTTGCGATAGCATACACTGCTCAGTCAAATATATGCACGTATTGTTGAAAAACAACAGCATGAGGCGTCCTTTGCCTCTGCATGATTACCAGAAGATAATGCTGTCCTCTTTCTTACCTTGAGGAGCGTATGCAGAACTTTGGAGAGTTTGCGGTGCGTCTTCTTATCGGTGACCTGTTCCAGCCACTCGATGATTGGCGTTAGCTCGGCTCGCAGATGGCCCAGTACGTGGTAGAGCACCTCCGGATTCTGAGAGATGACTGCCAAACTGTCCAGACAGCGGTCCGGGTCCTCCTCCGGCGGCGGCCCGTCTGCCAGGGGTCACCGGAGGTCAACAGAGGTCACCAGGGGCTAGCAGAGGTCAGCAGAGGTCAGCAGAGGTCTTTACTGACCTCCGGTCAGTAAAGGTTACCAGGGGTCACCGGATGTCAGCAAAGGTTACCAGGGGTCACCAGAGGTCAGCAGAGGTTAGGTACCACTGTGGTTACCGGAGGTTTAGCGAAGGTCCAAAGAAGGGGTCATAGTAGGTCAACTGGTATGCCATTGAAAGCGTAAGTGTGTTATCAATATTGAAACATTTGTCAAATAATTGGCTGGAAGGAAACTGGAAGTAATAAAATAAAGGAGTATCATTTGAGTGAGTACTGAACTGCTGAGTCCCAAGTGAATGAAGGAATACATTCGTGAGTGGATGAGTGAGTGCATAAGTGAGTGAGTGGGCGAGTGAATGAGTAAGTGAGTGGGTGAGTGAGTGAGTGAGTGGGTGAGTGAGTGAACAAACGAGTAAGTGAGTGAGTGAGTGAGTGAATATACGAGTTAGTGAGTGGGTGGGTGAGTGGGTGAGTGAGCTAGCGAGTGAATGAACGAGTGAGTGAGTGAGTGAGTGAGTGAGTGGGTGAGTGAGTGAGTGAGTGAGTGAGTGAGTGAGTGGGTGAGTGGGTGAGTGAGCTAGCAAGTGAATGAACGAGTGAGTGAGTGAGTGCGTGAGTGAGTGAGTGAGTGAGTGAGTGAGTGATTGAGTGAGTATGTGAGTGAGTGAGTGAATGCAGCAGACAAACTCACCGACAGAGGAGAACTGCCGAAGGTGCTGGAGGAGCTGATGGGACCGCTGACTGGCGTCCATCTCCGTCTGAGAAAGAGAAACAAGCCAACGTTTATATGAGGGGCAGAAAAAAGCGAACAATGATGATTCAATGACACCAACACAAAAATGTCGCTATAGCTGTACTGCATAGTGTGCATACTTTATAGTTACCCACGAGTTGTAAATGCAGTTTGCAGTTAGTAAAAGCTTTTTAGGATGAATACCTAATATTTTATCGATATCTGAAATATCGACACAGGTATAAATATTAAATATACCATAATGTGTGTGAGAAGTAAGTTAAATTGATGTTTGCATAATAACGCAAAGGAAAAGAAACAGAAAAGCGGCTATAATAAACCACTTATGTTATGCATGCATTGCAAAGCAACTTTCGACATTCGCGGATCCGGCACTCTCAGACTAGGTAGCCCGGAAAACGTAGGGGTCGTGAGCGCTGAGCTAACCGCTGCGATCCGTGGCGTGCTCGGCTGGTCTGTGGCTCACTCAGCTGGTTTGGGGCTCACTCAGCTGGTTTGGGGCTCACTCAGCTGGTCTGTGGCTCACACAGCTGGTCTGTGGCTCACTCAGCTAGTCTGTGGCTCACTCAGCTGGTCTGTGGCTCACACACTGGTCTGTGGCTCACTCAGCTGGTCTGTGGCTCACTCAGCTGGTCTCACTCAGCTGGTTTGGGGCTCACTCAGCTGCCCCCCCCCCCCAGATTGTTATGCTGTGCCGGCACGCGGGCTTTGTTGAGACGATCAACTTCCGCGGCCGTTCGAGTGACCCGGCTGTTTAGAGAAGCTCGGCTTTACGTAAATCCCAACGTCGCTGCACTGCCAGATTTTGGAAAACGAAGGGGAGTTCCGCATGAAGAACAGCCCATTTCTGAACAGAAATCGACGCACAAATCCCGCCAAAGAAAAGGCATCTCTTTACATCGGAAAATAGGGTTATGATGTCACGGCATCGAATATCGATGCATCCAGCTTTGTAAGCGGTAGCTTTGGTGGCAGCTCTCTCGGAAGAAAAAGACTTGTTTGTTTGATGTTCTGTAAAAATTGAGCAGGGTCGCACATTTTTGATGATCCAATCACTAATGTAGATTCGTTTTATTTACGAATATTTGTTTCACCGATCTTCTTTTTCTCTTTCTTTCTCACTTTCTTTCTTTCCTCCCTTTCTCCGACTCCATCTTTTTTTCTTCAATTCACTGTTTCTTCGAAGAGCATTTCCTGTCCACCGCTGAAATAATCCGCTCCGCGCAAAGTGCGGCCTCTGGGGCGACTCGAAATGGTGCCGCGAAACAACGGCTGCCGTCACCGACGCTGACGCCTGATGGACCACAGTGGAGTTGGCTGGGAGGGGAGGGGCTGGGGAATGGGAAGCCGAGGATCCAGTCCAGACCCGGCGCGACATTGCATTTCACCTGCACGAGCTGCAAGCCGGCCGCACGCGACTGTGGGTCGGCGGAAAATCGACCCGTCGGCTCCCTCCGACGTTGGAGAAGGGGGAGGGAGGGAGGGACGTTGAGTATTCCATTCCCAGTCCAAACTGGAAACGCCACCGATCCACTCAGCGGTTTGCACCAGAGCCGATGGTCGTGGTCTGTACCAATGCATTACTAATACATAGCTCTGCAGTCCGCACCGTGAACGGCATCGTTTTGCATGTCAAAAAGTAATGGTTTGAATCAGTAATACTAAATAAAACAAATACTGACGCTAAAAACACAACAATATCTACACTGGTATATGATACATCATTAAGACCGACCAATTACTCGTGAATTACAATTTGCAATCGAGCACATGTGTTTGCTCGAGGAACACAACATGGCTGATGACCTGACCTGACAGCGGTAAAAGCATAAACAAAACTGATTGCGGATATGGCTGGTCACTGGGCATCTGTGTTACATTTTTCTACTGACAACATCGTCACGCATTCCACTCAGGATCCAATCCATATTTTGTCACCATAAAATGGTATGAGCCGTCCCAATTTTCAAAATTGCTCCGAGCTCGCATAGCCACAGCGGTTCATATTCTATGCTGCGGTGGCTTGAAACGAGGTCAAAGATATTGTTCAATAAGGCGCAGCGCGAAACATCATCACCGCTGGGGTAAACAGGGGCCGAGCACGCGAGTCTGGGCACCCGGGCAATATCGCGCTCCACTCCCTGCGCCTCCCTCCCCTTCCATCCCTCTGCTGACCGACGGGCAGCGTCCAGTCGGCCGCAGTCGGACCGGGTACACCGCTCCGAGCCCCGGCCCAACCGCCGCGCCGCCGGCCACTGAATCGGAATGCTCAATATTTCAGGCGTCGTATCAGTACCGCCGAGCCTGTCCGCTCAGATCATTGATCCAATCGACAGAATAGGGCAGGGAAAGATCACGACGTCACGGCGTATGGACATCTAGGCCGGCAAGGCAGCTGCTCGTTCCGGCAAGCAGCTGCTCGCCCCGGCAAGGCGTAGAAGCGCCGCCGTCATCTCGCGCGAGGTCACGTGCCAAGCTAGTGGGGCTGTCGTTCCGGGTTCAGCCATCGGTGTTTGATATTGGTGCCGCGATGACTGCCGAGACAGCGGTCAGTTTCAGACCTCATTAAACTGAGTGGCAAGTGCTCACCGCCCGGGCGGTAGAGATGGCAGCTCGTTCACTGGCTATAAGACGCTGTGGCGCTTCCGCGGAGCCTGTTGTATGATGTTCGGTGTGACGACATTTTAAATGTGGTTGCTGTCGTGTACAGTGTACACTGCAAGATTTACGGTCAATGTCTGTCAGAGTTAGGGCGTGGTTTATTGCCGAAATGGCGCCAATAAATTTGTCAGGGATGTTGTTCTATGAGCCCTGCAGCAAGCCGGTCGCAAATAATTAACCGACCTATCACAAAGTCCCCGTAGATATTTTCAGTTATGTTCGGAAAGTGGTTTACAAAGAAGTTGAAAACCTCCCAATGACACATAGAGAAAGACAAATTCTAGAATCCAGCTTGGTATGTCCCTGCAAAACACGCACTTTTCTTTAAACATGGCTAATTTAAAGGTAAACAATCATGTAAAATACATATTTGATGTTATAGAATCTGCTACCCGCTTTAAAAAAACTGCGATTCCCGAAATTAAATCTGAAACAGATAGGTGCGAGACTCATACCAATCGACTCCAAAAATTTGCGATGCTCATTCCTGAGAGTCTCATCAGCCGAAAAGCAGATTGCTAGCCTTTAAGCAAATGTTTTGTGATGGAAGGGAAAGATGAACTATTTTAATTGTGTTGTTACTTGTTACCACATAACGCTTCAGAATGAGGTAGCTCGTGTTGGGTCAAATATTGATCCCTACATATCTTAAATATTTAACAATAGATATTTGTATCAGTGAAACGCTAAAAGCGAACAGCATGTCAGGCCTCCTGGCAAAAAGACGACTGGATATGACATGCAAGAAAAGATCAGCTCATGTACGTACTTTGTCTGATATCCTTACCACGAATGTGCGATCCATCAATTCTGGGACAAGAAATCCGCTACCAATCGAGGATGGATTTATGCAGCCCTAAATGACAGCTCTGGCTAGTGTGCCGGTGAACAGGAATTTCCCGGCATGAATGCATGATATATTTGTAATAAGTGTAAGTATTGGTATATAGTGAGTGCAGCAAAGACACCCAACTAAGTGTTTCAGAATGACACTGACTTTTTTAAGCCATTCGTCGTCAATGGTATTTGTGTCGACTGCTTTCAGAAGTCAGTCGTTGCATTTATTCACACTACAGCAACCGTTTGCCATTTTATCCCGCACCGTAGACAGTGTTTACAATGGCTTCACGTGCAAAGAGAGAAAATTTTCAGATGTCGTTTAACTGATTTGTTAAACGTCTACATAGACGTTTAACCTTCCAGGCGGTGGGGGGGGGGGCATTTTTTTGCCCCCCTTTAGTTTTTTTCAATATATCTCGAGAACCGCTGCGCCGATCGTCACCAAACTTTCAGTATACTCCCGGGAGCAGCTAGCGCACATGGTGACCAAAAATTTTTCCCATAGGCTATGATAGGTTGGCCGCTAATGACGTCAGAGTGACGTCATTTTTGCCATTTTCGACCCAAGAAAAGGTTTCGCGGGAAGAGCTGTCAGGCCTACAGCTTTAAAGATACAGAAAAATGTTTCATACATAAAAGGTGTGGAATCAAAAGGGCTACAAAACTGCTATTTCGGTTTTTCGAATTTATTGGATTTTGACCCCCAAAAAATATAATAGCCAAAAAATCCAAAAAGTTTTTTGAATTTCGAAAAACCCGGAACATATATGATAGTCCCTACCGCCTTCTATCTACATACCAAATTTGAGATCGATACCTCTTCTGGCCAAGTTAAAGAGAAAAACTGTTCAAAATCGATGACGTCAAATTTTCAAACTCAATTTTTAGCAATTCCAGACCTCGTAGCTCAAAACAAAGACCACCATTAGACTCCCCGTGACGAGCTGCATTGAATCGATACCTATTTTATGCAAAAATATCAACTTTGAAATTTGACCTTTTTTGACCTGACCTTGACCTGACCTCCACCAGAAAGTGACCTAAACCGTACCTGATGATCTTATAACCAACACCATTGAGTTGGAAATGAAAAACTGGCCATAAAACATGCATCGCATAACCTTAGTAAAGTTGGGCTCATGTGGTGAGGTGACCCTTGGTGACCTTTGGTGACCTGACCTGTGACCTGACCTGTGACCTGACCTGGTATGACCAGTGACCTCTAATAGCAACATATGTACTAGACAACTGACGCCTTATCGCTGATTTTCGACAAAATGCGTTTTACTCGGTGTTATAGCGCTTTCCCTAGAAGCCCCGTGAACGGTGAAACAATTTATCTTTGACCTGACCTGTGACGTCATCGGTGACCCCGAGGTCAATGAAATTTGGTTTCCCTCCACAAATTTGACAGGGCTATCGAACGCCGTTTGAATTTTCCGGATCCGTCCAGTAGTTTCGGAGATACAGGGGGGGGGGCAAAAAAATGCCCCCCCCCACCGC